TAGTTAGTGGTCATATGTATGTATGGGAACGAATGACAGTTAATTAGTTAAAATGATACTTAATATGAGCATGTATGTGTGTGTTCTCTAACCAAATTTATAACTACTTGATTTTGACAGAATATTAAGTTAATTGATATTTGTCTATAAGAGAAATGTCTGTAATAAAGTAGAAGTTAGTTTACTAATTATCTGCAGAGTTTTCTTTAAGGGTATTATTTATAATATGTACTAACTGCTAAGTGCGTAGCTGTTATCGTTACTTTATGGAGATTTACACTCATCATGCTCTGTATTCGTCTCCATTCACACGTCCAATTTTGTATAGTTGTATCGGTAAAGCCCCCCTCACGAGCACACAAGTATGATATGATCTGTCAAAATTTTATGTAGAAGAGAACGGGTGGGATCGTCTAAACGCAATATGAAATCATCACACATTGAGAGAAAATACTGATGAAAAATTTGACAGTTCATTTTTTGAGGGATTAGATCAGGGATGTATTTTTATGTAAACACATACAAAAAAGTGAAACAGCTGTTTCCATCATACTTTGTTATTATTTTATACCAATAGTGTAAACACAAAAAATATAAATCATACTCCGTATGACAAAAAAGAGAATTTCATACGGATAGAATTACATTTTACTGTTTCATTAGACTTGTCGTACGTAAGGTGTGATCGTCTGAAAGGCCCTTAATGCTTTGTGTTCTTATAATACGTATTTTCATACTCATGTCGTACTTGCCTCATTATTCTTAGTGACATTATGGGATTATCTCGACCCTCTTGGCGCTATATTTATTCGAATCCAACTTCTGTTAGAAACCTATTATTGTGATTAGATAGACGGTAGTATATTTCGGTTTCTTAGTTTTCAATGTAGAATCCCAGGACCTTTTTGTTCCAAACATTCCTACGGGTTTGTGCTTCAATGTTCTGCTTAAACCATTTGGTATCAGTATTTCAAAGTTTCCGTCATGTTCTGTTTATGTATAGCAATCCAATGTGTATATCTTGAGTACACGTCCTATAATTCTACTAATATATAGGACATAATAATCTATTGACTAGACTATACACAGGTCTTGTGACTAGTTCAAGTCTATTGACTATTCTACAATATAAATATAAAAATACACATTTACAGCCGTTTTTAATTTATGTACAAAATAATTTTTTTCCTTTGTTGTTTTTTCTCAAAATTAATTTACTTTACAAAAAAAAAAAAAAAAAATATTTTCTTTTTATCGAAAAATTTTTTATGATTTGTTGACAACAACAAACAAAATTTGTCACATTTATTATTATAAAGTTTATAAAACCATAAATAATCTTCATGGGAAATAAATTCAATGCACGTCTTTAAATGTTAAACAAAGAATAACATTGTGAACGGAGTACTTAATCGAAAGAAAGAAACAAGTACCAAACGTACCTTAGACTTAAATATTTACACCGAGTGTTTTATAAGTAAAGGGATCCCTCTACTTTTAGGGACAAGTAAATGTTCTTGGAAAAATATTTTTTTTCACTAATTTGAATTTTAGTGCATGACTCCACAGTGCAACTTGAAATCCATAAACGGACAACACTAAGTGATAAAAGAGCAAAAAAAGCCCGTGTCCGTCTCAGTTTTTCCCACAGTCATGAACTTTTTTATGGGTCCTCAAACATTTGGGTCTTTGGTGTTATTTGTGCAAAAAAAAAAATATAATTTTCTCAAAATTATAATTTTCATTTACTCTCTAAGGCAAAGTTGTAGCTCTTGTCATTATGAGCATATAAATTATATATTTTAGATCAAAATCAAAAAAACCTTTAAATAATTAGATTTTTTACATTCAAAAGCTTTTCTAAATTATGCGTATACTTAATATGTGTAATACCATTAAATCATTAACACGTATACGTACAGGTGTCGTTAATAAAATCAGTGAAGTTTTATAATGTGACACTACACTTGAAATTAAAAAATGAAGAAAAAGTTTTTTTGATTTTATACGTTCACAAGAGCCACTACTTTGCCTCAGAGTGTAAATAAAAACGATTTGCAAGATGTGAGCCTGATAAAATGATCACGACTTTTGCAAAAATTACACCATAATAAAACTGAATGACATTGGGTAAAACATTTAATATTTCAGAATCCCGACATGAGAGAAAGAAATGAACAGCAGATGTAGGTTGTGTATATTAATATTTTCAATTCTGTTATAATTTTAGTTAAAGGAGGATTTCACTGCAGACCTGGGTAATTAATTTATCAGGATATTTTGTTGACTTTGCAAATATCTGATTTTGATAATGACCCTGTTTGAAGCGAGCATAACTAATTATTTTTTAATTGATTTCATTAAGAGTTTGTCAGTTTATGTTATAAAGTATAAAGCCAACAAAAAAGTACCAAAAAGTTTGTTAGTTTGCATTACATTCTAAAACGATCCGTATAAACGAAACCGTTTATCTGATTGACTGTCTGTCCATCTGTTATAAACACGATAGTAATTATAGGGCTTATATTTTTCATAAATATTCTTCATATTTACTGTTGTTATTGAAAATAGTCAATGGATGATATTTTGTATGTTGATTTCACACTTGAAAAACTTTTTTCGTAAACTTTTCTAATTTAGTCATAATCTCTCTCAATGCTACTTTATCTACATATATCAGTCAATGACTTCTTATTATAGAAATATTTATTACTTTCTAGACACCAAAGTTATAAATTTTTCTAGATATGACTAAAGATATTCTTTTGTGGTCAACCAAACACAAAAGGTTCTCCGTCAAAAAACAGTATACCGCATTATTTTGCTATATACAGGAATATAATATCTTGAATTTCAACTATATCTTTCTAATGAATTTTAATATTAAAAGGGATTATTTACACATAAACCACTATCCTTAAAACTTAAAATCTTTATTCATCTGTTCAAGTCGGTCAACCACACTAATAACTAACACACTTTGATTGTTTACATTACTTTTCAAGAATAATTAAGTACTTAAGATTTATTTGAAAAAAAAAATTATCACTACTTATCGAATAAATTAAAATTTATTATTTCTTAATAAGCTTAAAAGTTTAACTTCAATGAAAAATTATTTGCTTAAAGATTTATAACTTTTATGTTTAAGTTTAAATGTAAACAATGATCAATCATTTAAGGATTTAAAATTTATCAAACATCCTTTGTAACATTAAAAAACATAGACACACACACACAAACAAGTACATTTGGCAATCTAACAAATAATACAGACAATTACACAAACCTACTTTCTTCCCTTATAATCGCCCACAAAAACACATATAAAGATTTTTATAACTCACTCCTATGTACTTACTGTAGTGATGAAGGGGTATAATAAGTTTTTGATGATATTGGTAAAGCAGAGAATATAAAAAGAATTTGAATATCTTTTAGAAATTATTTAGCAATGTTCGTTCGGGCGTCATGAAATAACTCCCCACGAAATAACTCCCCAAAACAAAAATGAAATAAGTCCTGAATATTTCCTAAATAGCCGGCCTACGGTCGAACGCAAGGATTTACCACTCTATAATAAGACCAACACCGGCTTCGTTTAGTAAAGATTTCCGAAATAGCCGGCCTTAAAGCAGAACACTCTTGATACAGGGAGGGTGTATTCTTAGCGGAGCTGGTGTCCAATGTACCCCAGAGGATAAAACCCTTGCGCCCGGCCGAATGCCGGCTATCAGACATGTATTTTTTATTTCGTGTGATAAAAGTAAGGTAATGAAATAACTCCCCAAATGTTTAGGGATTTATTTCATTTTTGGATTTTGAGGAATTATTTCATAATGAAATAATTCTCCATTTTAAATGTGAAATAATGCCCCAAAAAAACGAATTAAATCCCCAAATTTCGTTGTTTTTGCTTTCTGAACAAATTTTTAGGGAGTAATTTCATTTTTGTTTTTGGGAGTTATTTCATGACGCCTTTCGTTCGTCCCTATACTCTTTCTATCTTAAAACAATTAGTTCATATGGGGGTGAGGGTAAATATGGTAGAGGAATTTACGTCTACATTAAAGTTATTTATGAAGAATTTCATTGTGTTATTAGCGTTTATAAGTGAATTTTGACTTATAAAGTCATTTCCTGAAGGCGAGTTTGTATGAGGGCTAGGGTCAAATGAGGCCCGACCGTTACAAAAATCGGCATTTAAACTTCTATAAAACTAAATTTTGTCGATTTTTGTTGACATACTGGAAAATTTAACATAATTATGAGCTCAAAAGCCCTATTCAGGGGGCACGGTTGTATGGGGGCTAGGCGAAATAACGGACCTATTTCAACTATTCTCAATAGCGTTCGTCCTTGAGTCGAGAGAAGATAATGTGTCAAATATCATCAAACTATCTTAAAAATTGCGTGCGCACAAACTTTACATGGACACACAGACAGACGGACGGACGGACAGACAGACATAGCCAAATCGACTCAGAAAGTGATTCTGAGCCGATTGGTATACTTTAAGGTGTGTGGAAGTACCAATATTTTGAACAAATGTGAAATGTATTCACAACAAGGTTAGGGTATTCCAGAGTCAGACATGCCTTTCCCTACAAACTCACTTATTATTTATCAGTTTTCCTTAAAAAAACATAATTCTGTAAAAAAAAAATTTAATGGCACGTGATGGCAAAACCAAAAGCCTCAAACTTTTACCACGATTTCAAATCCTACACAATGTGGAGAAAATAATTTACTGTATAATTTTAATTCTCCAGCTTATTTCGATTATCAAGAAAAAGAAAAATAACAAATAAAAACCTCACAATCTAAGTTAGACCAAAAAATATTTTCTATGGCAGTTTTTCAAACTCTACTCTATTTTTCCTCTTTTCTCTTCTGGTTTAATTGTTTTACAGCTTTTAATATAAATGAAAAATATTTATAATAAAGAGGGAGGAAAAAAGCAAAGATTATGAAATAAAATAGAATTATAAAAAAATTACCTCATTTTTTTAAATTGCAGTTCTGTTGCTATATCGAGCTCAGGGGTATATTTTTGGTTATATTTTATTTAAATGAAAAAAAGTTTATTTTGCTATTACTTTTTATAATAAATTTCATATATTTCTCCTTTTTTATAACAAAAAAAAACATAAAACACTTTTACGAGATTTGTTGCCATTTTATTTATCTGTCGGAAATCTTTTTTTTATTTATTTTCTTTATTTTAATTTATATTTTTTTGTTGCAAAAATTTTAACACTTGCCGGTCGTTTTGTCGCTGCTATTATATACATATGTATATGTGTATAGACTTTTTTGATAAACATTTTATTTTATTTATATTTATTATAATTTTTTATGAAGGTGATTATAACTTTTTTTGTTGATGGTTACCATTTTGCTTTGAACATTAAAATTACAAAAAAACGCTTAGATTTGGGCATATATGGATTTGAAAGTGTTAAAGCTAAATATAAATATAAAAAGGATATTAAGTAAAGATCTGTGTGTTGTTTTTGTATTTGAAAAATTATGTATGAATTATTATGTCGTAACACTTTATTGTTTGAATACATTCTTTATCTGCCTAAAAACATGTGTAAATTTATTTAATTTGTTTGTCCACCATAGCGTATGATTAATATTATTTTCATTTTAATATCAATATCATGAACAAAACACTTGTTTAAACAATATTAAATATATAATTGTTTGATTAACTTACTCTTTGTTATATAAAACCTTTTTTTAACCATAAATTTTAATCCAAAATTTTACTAAAACAAAAAAAAATCTACAAACAAAATCAAATCCTTTAATAACTGATTTATTGTGTGAAATTTTTAATACTTTTCCATTATTCACATAAAATTATTTTCCAGTTTTTCAAATGTCTATGTTGTAATAAAATCCTGCTTAATTGCAAATTAAAACGAGGAAAGCAAAAATTGTATGTTCTATACAAATTGTTGTAAGCGTAAAATAATTTAATACGTATTTCACGCAATTTGCCAAAAAAAAAAAAAGATTTATTAACCTTGAAAGTTAATTAAATTACTTTTTAATAAGATTTTTCTTAATACACAAAGTAAATAAGTATTTATTTAACGCAAGGCATTTTCTGGCAAAGTATGAAAGGATTTCTTTTGTTTCTTAATATTACTTAAGACAAGTAAGTAATTGTCGTCCTTTTGTATTTTGTGCTAAATCTTAAAATATTAAGGAGAGTTAAGGTTAATTAATTTATGTATTAATTAGATCTTGTAATTGTTTGAAGGTTGAATTAAATAAATTAGGAAATGCACAATGACGATTATGGCATTCTTCAAGCTAAAAGGCAACGTAATTGTTAAGGTCCTATATCAAAAATGTATGTATACCAAGCTGCTATTAAATCCCTGATCGATGAATATTCCACAACAAGATCATAGACGTATGATCACCAATACAATGACTAGTATAAACAAGTTCGATCGTTGTATATTCCACAAAAAGATTATAGACGTATGATCACCAATACAATGACTAGTATAAACAGGTTCGATCGATGTATATTCTACAACAAGATCATAGACGTATGATCACCAATACAATGACTAGTATAAACAGGTTCGAACGATATATATTCCACAATAAGGTCATATACGTATGATCACCGATACACTGACTAGTATAAACAGGTTAGATCTATGTATATTCTACAACAAGATCATAGACTTATGATCACCAATACTATGAATAGTATAAAGAGGTTTGATCGATGAATATTCCACAATAAGATCATAGTCGTATGATCACCGATACAATGACTAGTATAAACAGGTTCGATCGATGTATATTCTACAACAAGATCATAGACGTATGATCACCAATACTATGACTAGTATAAAGAGGTTCGATCGATGAATATTCCACAATAAGATCATAGTCATATGATCACCGATACAATGACTAGTATAAACAGGTTCGATCGATGCATATTCCACAATTAGATCATAGACGTATGATCACAAATACAATGACTAATTTATATAAACCGGTTCGAATACAATCACATGTTTATCGAAAATTATTATTATTATTATTATTATTATTATTCGATTTATATCCCAAAATAAGATCATAGACGTATGATCACCAATACAATGACTAGTATAAACAGGTTCGATCGATATATATTCCACAATAAGATCATAGACGTATGATCACCAATACAATGACTAGTATAAACTGGTTCGTTCGATCGATGTATATTCTACAACAAGATCATAGTCGTATGATCACCGATACAATGACTAGTATAAATAGGTTCGATCGATGCATATTCCACAATTAGATCATAGACGTATGATCACAAATACAATGACTAGTTTATATAAACCGGTTCGAATACAATCACATGTTTATCGAAAATTATTCCCTTAAATTTGTTTAATAACTCAAAATACACATTCATTTCATTTCCTTACTTTCCTATAAAATTCACCCTATTTAAACTAAACATTTTACTAGGGGACTAATTTAATAAATTATTGTTTCGCCCATATGACACATTATGTCAAACAACTTATCAATCATACATTAAAGTGAAATCAATGTTTGATTAATAAATACAAGTATATATTACTTTACTTTGTATAGATTTCATTTAGAAAAAAGGGAGGTTTATTTTATAAAAGACACTTAGCAACTAAATATTGATTTGAAATAGACTTTTCGAAAACTTTAATCATTTTGAATAAATTTAGATTTAAACAGTCATATAAATAAGTATATTAGTTCAAAATATTTATTTAAAGAATCTGAAGCTTTTATATTTATGATTAAAATTTTATTGCTTTAATTAAAAAGTTTTATGTCAGCTATAATTAGCTTAGAGTAGCGAAAAGACTATAAAAATTTTATTAACTAAAATATGAAAAAAAAACTTTTTTTATGATTTTTCACTAAATAAAGTGTGATAAATAAGTTAACTTAATAATAATAAAACAATAAATAGTTTTTTTATTGAGAAAATTATTTTTGTAAAATGTTATTAATTACACTGAAAATAAGAGAATTGAGTTATAGACCATACTTGAATCAAATATTACGAAATACTTGCCCAGTAAAATATTTTAAAATTTTGGTAATGATTATTGTAGGTAATGTATTAATTTCACACATTACTTGGTAATGAGTGGTCTTTATTAATAAAATTATTTAATTTTTTTTGGATAGGATTTGTAGCCAGATGTATAGAGCGTATGTCTAATAAGGAATTAAGTAATTAATGGTTTTAAACCTACACAGAGGAAAAAAATATACACGACTGGTACCAAATTGACACAAAATTCTTCAATTACATCCATTGTCAAGTATATACATACATACATACAACTACAACATGTAATGAAGACCACGCAACATTGCAACAATTCGTTGTCGCAATCTAAACTTTACGCACATCCGTTGTCTAAATGTTAACAAACGTGGTAAGCTCACTATTGGTAACGCATTTTGTATATACTTGACAATGGATGTTATTGAAAAATTTGGTGTTAATTTGGTACCAGGCGTGTATATTTATTTTTCCCTCTGTGTAGTTGATATTAGAAGATTCTTGAAGAAATATTGATTTGTAGCTTTGTGTAAAAACTATTCCAAATAGCACGACAAAACAACTTGTTAATGGAGCATTGGGTAATAGATTAGACTAATGAACACAGAAAATAACTGTAAAGCCGGTTTTAAATCCGGAAAAGTCGGGTAAGCACATTTGTAACCAGTTATTTTTTGTTCGTCGTCAAACAAAAATAAGTACTTATTCACCCAAAAAAAAAAAAAAATTACTTACACTTTGACCACAAATTAATAATTGATTTGAGATAAAAATTTAAGAATTTAAAAAACTCAAATAATAAAAAATCATTTTAAAATTGTTATGTACATTTTATGTTTATGTTGAGTTAAATTTATCATGCGATTTTTTCTGTGTTGTAGGATGATTTTTTATGCAAATCATCCAAAGAGATGAAGGTATATTAATTTCGTTTATGAGATATCGAAATATGGAACGTGTATTTATAAAATTAAACACATTCTAGGTTTTAATTAGAATCTAGTCATGTCCGTTCAACTGTCTTTTGAAATCACGATTGGGCTTTGATGGGAGGAGTTAATGTTATTTAGGTAATAAGGTGGTACTTTCATAACTAACTTAACATTACCCATATAGCGATGATATCTACTTTCCATGTAATCTCTCATACAGAAAATCAGTATATTGTAAATAAATCGTATCAAATTATCAAATTTTGGGTCATATAATCTTTCCCGAATGGATGATGAAAGTAGACAATCAGGCATTTAAATTTTAGCTATTTTTAGAAAAATTTTCATTAGCTTTTTTATCATCCCTATTCAAGCAGTGCGTTGTATTTGAACTATGAAAATAGATTGTGGAAGGGATGTTAAAGGAAGTAGTATTTTTGGACATTTGATTCAAATTTTTTGCGTCGAATCGAGTTTCTGATTCCTTAATATTTACACCACTCATAGATATGGATGAAACAATATAATCTACAATGCGTTGGAACGTCAAGAAGCAACATTGAGTCTTACGAGCGTTGAAATCGATTAGCTAGATCCCATTCAGAGATTGTTACTAAGTTATGGTTGAGTGATTTATTCATGTTATGCCTTATCGCCCCAATCTCCAAAGGGCTTGGTCTATAATTGAATGAATGAGAATGACAGATATTGCTATCATCGGCGAAAGAGTAGGAATGATTAAAGAGGTTTGTTATAAATAGAAATCGAGTAGGGGAGTGAACAGAAACTTTATCTTGAACTCGTTTGCTAAAGTTATATCTATAACAACTCGTATAGTGCGATCTCTGAGAAAATTCACATTATGCCTGACTTATTTTATAGGGTGATTTTAAATGTTTTTAACATAACCCTCCCTAATTTTGATGAAAGTTAGTACACATGTATGGAATATAAAGATTTTAAACTTCTCCAAATTTTTCAAATTCTCAAATAAAAAGCCATAAAATTACTGTTGGACCTTCAAAATTAAATTCAACTTAAATCTTTTTAATTTTTTAGAATTAAAATAAAAATAATCTCAAATATTGTGCATATATCGGTAAGATGTGAGCAAAATACTAAAAACATATAAATTAATAAATTTCGGTTATTTCAGATTTTTGACCATATATCCATAATGAACCGATAAAGGTGATTTGAAATAGAAAAATTATATCTGATAGAATTATTCGATATTTGTATTTGAGTCTTTCAGAAATTTGGTTTTTACATACATATACATACCGACAGACAGACAGACAGACAAACATCGCTTAATATACATACTTTGCCATGTATAAGAAATAATTTTTGCTTTAGGGAGTCGCAAAATTAAACATTAGATGTTACAATGTTAACTCTATTAAATAAATTAAATAACATACTTTGCCGTATGTATTTTTCGTGTTAACCTATTTGTTTTAATAAATTACTGGCTCTCAGTCTAGGATACCAAAACCCATATAATTTTACGCTTTTATTGCAAATAAGCGATCATTGCTAAGCTCAAGAGTTCAAAAACGGTATTGATCAAAATAATTATTAAAAATGAAATTAAAAAAAAAAACATAAAAAATTTACCTTTTCAAAAAAATTCGTTTAAATATTTTTCTATACATTAAATGCCCACTACTGCTTTAATTATTCAGCTGTCAGCTCTTTAATTTATCTTTCATAGGAAAAAAATGTTTTCATTCATTAAAAATTATGTTTTATTTGGCAAACAATTAGCCATGACAAGAAATAATGTACTTTGACTTTTTTTGGTCTGGTCTCTGGTGCATAAACAGTTTAATTAATTAATTTTTATTTACATACAATGTATAACATGACATATATGTATATGTGAATTATAAATTAAATAAATAAACAATATAAATCAATTTATTATATTGAAAATAAAATTTATTATTTTAAAAGGATTTAATTAAGCAAATAGTTAATAATTTATAGCTAATGAAACAAAGGATTTTAATTTAAAAAAAAAACATATTCTATTTGATAATTACAATTTATGAAAAATTTAACTCATACTTAAATATGGTATTTCTGGTATAGGAAGTGTATGTCGAAACTAATTTCCGTTTATTTGTGTTGAGAAAGGAGGAGGGTATTTGTTAATTTTCATTTTACATAGTAGTAGTTGTAAACACCTAAGTATTGCTTGTGTTGTTGTTTTCAATTTTTTTGCAGTGTTTGACTAACAAGTTTTTGTTTTTTTGTTGTGTGATAACAAGTATTTACAAGGTACTACATGACGTATGAGTTATAATAAATTATTCAAAATTAATAATTTTCATAACAAGAGCAATTTTTAAACGTATGATGGTGTTTATTTATAAATATTTAATATTTTTTATAATTATTTTACACACATTTTGTTATTATTTATTTTTTTCTCATTATTTAATAGCAGGTTTTACAATATGTTTTAAATTACTTGAAATTTTTTTGTAATTTTTCTAAAACTTTGTTGAATTTAAAATTTTTATTATTATTTTTTTTAATTAAATTGATTTATATATTATTATTTTTTTAATATTTTTTAGTTTATTTTTAATATATTGTTTACACCACATTTTAGTTTTTAAGATTTTTAATTTTAAACCATTTTTTTTCGAATTTCCAACCGTATTGTTCCGCAGACCGTTTGCAACTGATTGAGGCCTTTCGCATGCACATGTATTATCAACATTGAATTTTTCATTATTTTTCAAAACATTTACTTGAGCTTCAAAACGTCTAAAGTCAACAAAACTAAACTGGTCGAAAAATTGTATATTCTTCAATGAAATACTATTTTATACTAGACCAACAGATACGCTCTTTTTCTCTCCTTTTTTTTTTTCTCTCGCTATCTCCTTACTTTAGTAAATGCATTTATTTAACCTTCAGTTTATATATAAATTACTGCAAATTTTACTGTTATTACTTAATTCAGCTCTCACTGAGCATGCTCTTTGTTTCACTTTAAATGAGAGCGATAAAATCCTTCAATGAGTAGAAGTTGAAAAAACAGCTGTTTTAATGCAAGTCCTGACATTTTTGTTTTCCTATTTGCTATACAATATTTCTGCCTGGTTAAAAATCAAAACAAATACGGAATTGTATCCTTTATATCCTTGTTAGAAAACACACACATATATAAAAAATTTACCGTTATTGTTGTTGCACATTTACGAGTGTTTGTGTGTGTGTATATGTTAGTCTGGGTGTTTCATGTTATGACTGCTAACGGTATGATAACATGTTTAAACATTCACTTTATTGTTGTCGATGTTGTTGTTGCTGCTGTTGTGTTTTGATTTTTAGCTTTATTTCTTAAGGTGTGTAAGTATATGAACATAAATTTGTGTCTGTATATGTCTGTATGTACGTATTTATGTATCTGTGCACTATTGCTGTTGGTGCTGATGATGTTTTAGTCTACCCTGTATTTTAAATCTCTTTCATTTTGAAGGTCATTTATTTTTATGATTTTTATGAATTTGTAATCTTGATTTTTTTTTTTTTTTAATATTTGATGATTGTAATATTTTCAGGGTTACTTCGATAGAATGGATGGTTTTATTTTTTTTCCTTCTTTGTAGTGTAAACACTTTTTTCTTTTTATAGTTTGCTTTAAATAGAGTCAATTGAAATACTTACTGCTTTGGGATTTAAGGTTTTGAGAAATACGCATATGTATATCTTTTTAAACTTGTTATTAAATATTCAGTCGTTCTTGTGAGATATACAGAAGTCCTTGAACTCTTGATATGTTATCTCTACTCCTGAATCCCTACTCTAGACTTCAAAAGAATTCAAAGAAATGAAATATGTTTGGGGACAGTTAAATATGTATGGATCACTAATATAACATAAATTTTGAAAAATTATTTATCAAAAATCAATCGTGTTTTATGCGGAAACTTTTTGCTATGTTTCGATTATCAGCTAGCTTCAAGTACGGCTTTTATGCTATATCTTAGGATTTATAAACACCCTATTGCTGTCATTAGTGCAGATTTAAATATTTGCCTACATATCACACTGGAACAGCATAATTAAACATTGACCGGCAAATGTTATTAATTCTTTCTTTATTGTCCCAAGAACTGTTTGTCGCTTTGGTGACCATATTTTTACTTCTCAAGTTATGGGTGAATGCTGTGGCATGAGCTAAGGAAATAATAAGAATTTTAAATAAACATTTTTTGATTTGGAGGTCTTGAAACGGATACTAAACAGTTTCATTAATATAGTATGAAAACTGTTTAGTTGGATCACCAATCTCATATACAAATGCAACACAATCTACTGATCTTTGTACAGATCCTGTCTAACAACTGTTCAGTTTAAGGTAAACAAATGTCAATCGAAGGTCAATTTTTAAGCAGGACGAGCAAGGAAGTAGTCTGTCTATTAGCTGTTGTCATCCCGATATAGTAAAAGTTAATGTAAAAAGAGTTCGAGAACGAATCCTTCTAATGATACTCTGCTCTGAAATGTATTCCAGAAAGAGCGTTCTGCATCAATCGATAAAAAAAGGTCAAGAATCATGCGAATTAGGATACAATGGAGTGCTCTAAGAAGGAAGAGCAGAGAAGAATTCTGTCTATTAGTTACCTCCATCTATAAAAGCAAACACTTCGCATACAGCATACCTTCGAATATGCAAACAAAGGATTACCGCACCAGAAAAGCAAATTTAGCAGATGTTGAGTAAAAGTTATGGCAAAAAGAGTTCAAGAATGATTCGTTCCAATTAGGATACCCTGTTCTGAAGCGTATTACTGAATGCTTGTTCTGCATTGATCGATCAAAAAGAGAACAAGAATTAGGATACCGTTCTTCATCGAAGCCCAGCTTTTTAGAACGAAGAACAGGCTGAGAAGAAGGCTGCCTATTAGCTGTAATCCAAACACTAGTAAATGTTGAAGTAGTAAAGGTTAAGGCAAAAAGTTGTCAAGCTCGAATCACTTCAATTAGGATACCCTGTTCTGAGGTGTATTCCAGATTAATCTGCATCGATCGAAACAAAGAGTTTTCATGACAGAAGGCGGACAGATGTGTGACTTAACCTGTGTCGACTCTTTTCTTTTATTTACATTAAATCGCTGGTAAAATATCGATCATGAAATTTCTGTTATTTCATGATAATTAGGTAGTATTCTACAAATAATCACAACGATTGTACCTTCAAATGAAATAAAATTTATTACCGCAAATAAGTCTCTTTTAATAAAAGAACTATATATATAGTACTCGGACCGATAAAGGTCTGAGCTATGTATGGTGAGGCAAAACATTATACATCCAATATAACTAAATGCGAATTGCATAGTACCGAACGTTTAAGTATGTACTTATTAGAATCCAACTTTCCAACTAAAATCGTAATAATTCATATATAAGTTTATTATATTCAAAATAATATATGAAAATTTTGTTTTATTCACCGCTTCCATCTTAAAGATTTAAATCTTACCACATTAACTTTATTTATCACGTGATAAGTTTACACTATTATATTATGACTACAGCAAACACTATAGTTTTTATTATTTATATACAGATACATACATATTTTATATCTTTCTTAAATTTCTCTTTTGGATTACATAAACTTAAGGTTAGTTTTATTATACTCAAGAGGCTTTTAGAGAAAACGTGAATCTTTATGAAACCGGAACAGAAGAAAAAAAATGAATTATAAGCATTTGATGGCATCATTTTAGCCCACCAAATGCTTTCAAAAAGTATTTAAAAGGAAATTAGTGTTTTTATAACTATAAAAACAACATTTTACTACTAGCATCTGGTCTGCCATAACAATTCACTTTAGATGATTTTATTTGAAAGATACCTACTAAAGATGGCAGGAGTAGTATTAACGATGTTTTCTTATCGTCTCTACATATCTTAATTTTGTTTTATGTATTTTTATTTATTTTATACTTCATAATATAAAATAACAATATTATTAAAGCTACTTGTATTAGTTGTCGCCCTTTAAATGAACATCTAGTTAATGCGGGAGGGGATGAACACAATTATTATTACTTTTATTTAGTTTTTTTTTTTCCACTTTTTTCCTGTTTTACCTTAAGGTGCTGCTTTTGGGGGTCTATATTCTATATATAGTGTGTAAGTATTGGCAAGTATATCCTTATGGGGAAAGTCTTTCAAAGCCCTCATATTTTTGTTGTTTATTATGTTTTTTTTTTCTATAGTTGTATATGATTTGTCTTATTTCAAAACTGCCCTTGTATATGTCTGCTGTTTCATATAAATTTCTAGTTGTTTTTCCTTTTTTATGTTTTTCTTTGTCTGCTAGAATTTTTTGTTGGTCTTGTAACTTGGTATTGTTATGTCTATGTTTTTTTGTACCATTATATGTGTATTGGCTTTATGCCTAGTTGAGTAACTTAACTGGTTGTCATATACAAACGTGTTTTATACAGTGTTGGATAAAAGTAGGGAATAATACAAATGATTTTTGTAAATGGTCTTGTTTATAAAACTAAGGAAGAATAAATTTTTTTAAAAATTTAAAAACTCAGAGTCAAAGGAATGCTTTTCTAAAGGATATAGCTTTGCTAAACTATAATCTGGATTTCCTACTGCATGAGCGGTAATAACACAGGCCGACAAGTTTTTAACCCAGAGACCAAATAATACTTTTTTAAAGAATTACCCCCTTATTCATAAAAAACATTTTATTTTATAAAAGGTTTATAAAACAAAATTTCCATACGAAATTTGATTTATAAATCGTTTATAAAATAAAATTGTGTTTATGAATAAGGGGGTTAATCTGTGCTGATTTCTTAGTATTTCTACATTAGAACAGGTATTCAAATATTTGAAAAATAATGTTTTTACCACTTTTTGAGATGTTATAACAGCCCACATCTACATCTTTGTTTATAAAATTTGTTGTGACATCTGAAAGTCCAATATCTCAACCTTAAAATAAAGGCGTAACCTGTGTTATATCTTCTTCATTCTTCGATCTATCTTATCATAAAATTTGAGACAAACATAAATTTAAAAAAAATAATTTGTCCATATTTCAAACTACTATCAGGTTTTCGAGATATCATGCCCTAATATTTGAACAATATTTGAGTCGTTATAAAAGCCCACAAACATCTGTGTTTATAAAATTTGTTATGTCATCTGAAAGTGCAATATATCGACTAACCTGTACTATATCTTCTTAATTCTTCGATATACCTAATCGTAAAATTTAAGACAACCATAGATTTAAAGAAATTGAATTTTTACTACATTTCGACTTCATTACCTATCAAAGAATAATGCAAATCAGACGGCACTTTTCAACCACATGGTGATCTAGAGATGACCAACTACCGCCCCACAATAATTCAGAACATTTGGTAGACAGATGTACGATCTCCATCAATAAGCTAAGATTTCGTTCTTACTCACAAGGCATCCACTGCGATAAGCCTGATTCAGTAAGCCCTGAACATGATAAAGAATAAAATTATATTGATAAAACATGAAAACATCCGACACCAAGCATTCAAGCTATCTCTGAGAGATCGTATTGCACCATGACGGCAACGAACTTATCCCGAAATATTAATTTTACCACGCATCAGACTTTTAACCAACACTCTCTTCCTGT